GTAACCCCTGTGTATCGCCGGGTGTGACCCAAAAAGAAAAAATAAATGAAAAGTATATTCTCCCATGACACAGGACCTGGAATGCCACCCCAAGGACTTCCACTTAAATGCTGGAGGCAATGCAGGAGGGAGAGGAGAGCAGAGTCTGGGGGTGATGAGTGCTGGGGTGTAGTGGCTCCCAGGGCAGGCACAGCTGCTTCCTGCTGTTTCAGGGGCTCTGCTCCCTCCCCCACTCTTCGTCCCTGCCCCCCCCCCACCCGCTTCCCCCTTCTCCCTGGCTTGTGGTGAGACTGTCTTTCTCTCCAGAACCACAGAGGAGCCCAAGAAGCAGCTGCTGCGGGGGGATCTGACTTCCGCTGATTCACCCTCATTCAACAGCCAGATCTAAACCCACTTTCTGAGACTCAACCATTCTCAGGGCTCTGGGGGAGACCAGAAGGCAGAGACCAGGCCCTGCCTTGAAGGCTGGTGATTCCTGGGTTGGGGTTGGGTGGGGGTGGGAGCCGAGGTGCAAGAATTCTCTGGAAAGGCAACTGGGTTGTATTTGGGCTGTGGGTGTTCCGGGAACAGAGTAGAAGAGGGCAGGTCAGACTCGGGAAATCTCAGTGGTGAACCTTGGGATTAAAACAAAAAAAACAAAACAAAACAGGTCCTGAACCCGAGCTGGGCTGTCTTAACAGGGCAACTTGGAGGGGGGAGGATTGAATTTTCCTCCACCCCAGCAGAACCCCAGCAGCCGAAAACCCTCAGAACCCAAGAACCCATGCTCAAGACCGTTCTCCACAGGCTTGGACAAGTCTCACCTACCAGGAACCTGCAGAAAAATCCAGGTATGCGGGACCCGTGACTGAGATCTCCAAGCACTCCAAGCTCACTCGAAATGGGACTGGGACTCTTAACTCCAGCTCCCCAGTTTTCCAGTAACTTGCCATTTACACCCACAAATTGTCTTTGGCCACCATATAATCTCATCAACGGCCAAGATCCAGAGACTATGAAATAAAGCTCCCAGAAGAGAGTGACACAGAATGTCCTGGGTGCATGGCGCAACTTCTTATACTCTAGCCCACTGATGTACCAAAACATTTGTTTGGGCTTAACATATATGTTTGTAATCTCTTATACAAGGCCTTACATGTCTCCAGGATGAAATACGACAATCTTCACACACTTTCCTCTTATGTTGGTGGGAAGGTTCACAGTGGTGGGATTGGTGTTTGAATATTATCTGTCACTCTCACTGTCACTGTCCTCCCGTCATTCATCGATTGCTCGAGCAGGCCCAGTAACATTGTGAGACTTCTTGTTACTGTGTTTGGCATATTAAATACATCACGAGGAGCTTGCCAGGCTTTGCTGTGCGGGCAAGATACTCTCGGTAGCTTGCCGGGCTCTCAGAGAGGGGCGGAGGAATCAAACCCAGCTCGGCCCAGTCAGCCTTGTGCAAGGCAAATGCCCTACCTATAATGAACTATTATGAACAACTTTATAAAAATAAAATTAAATTAAAGAAAATAGAGGCAGAAGTATGTGGGGGCTTTTTGGAAACAGACACTTCCCAACCCCATGTTAGGCTCCCAAAGGACCAGGAGCCTCCATGATAGGGGAGGGCAACTGTGAGGGACCCAGGGCTCTGTTAGGCTGTGTGTTGCTTCCTGATGCACAGAAGCTCAGAGGCGTCACGTGCTCCTGTTGGAAGGCAGTGGGAGAGGGTGGACAGAGACGCTGCAGTCAGAGGGTGGAACCGGGCTATACCTGCTTAGCAGAGTTACAAGAAGGGGCCACTGCAGCCATGGAGCAGGTTCGTGTGTGCCTACTTTAAGAATCTAGAACCCAGGAGCTAGGGGTACAAGGGGACATCAGAAGAAGGAGTGGGAGTTACACATAAGAACTAAGTTATTTGGGATGGGGGGGGCTTTCTCCCCAACAGTGCTCAGGGATCTCCATGAACCTTTTCCAGCAATGTTCAGTCATCTGGATGGTTCTATGCTCAGCCAAACCTTGTGTGCTGCTCAAGTCTAGAAGAACTCAACAGGGACCCCCTGGAGATGGAGCGGGGTGGGGAGGGGCATACAGGGTTATTCCTAGCAGTGCTGAGGGGTCTATGCAGTGTCAGGGATTAAACCTGGGCCCTTGTACATTCAAGGCGTGTACCCCTAATCTCAAACTATCACCCAGTCCCTTAAACAAAGAAGCTACTAACCAGCCAGAGGGAAAGCACTGCACTATTCTGACAATCGGCACAGCCCCAGAGGGGTGCCCTGGGCCTGCTCTCAGGGAGGAAGTGAGCCTTAAGGGACAGTGTGATGTCACGGGTCTCATGAAGCCAGGGGAGCCGTGATTGAGGGTAGAAGGAGGAGCCTCCATTCCAGGATTTCTCCAAACACAAAGAGCAGAGCTCAAAACATCCACCTCCAGGGCTGAAAAACTGACACAAGGACCCCCTCTAGGACAGAAGGAGAAGGAGGGAAGTTTCCAGGCTTGTTGGGGAAGGAGAGGAGGGCAGGAAAACCAGAGATGAGTCATAGGCATCTAGTTAAGGGGGCCCTGGATATGTTCTTCTGGGGAATAACATAGTTTAGGAAAAAGTTCCCTGGCCCTGAAGTAGCCCAAGGGCATATAGAACACATCCCTTTGAAATATAAGAGTTCCTGAGCTCTCTGAAGAAGAGAAACTGAGGCACTAAGCAGATGCAGAAATCCAGGCCTCACCCAGAGAAGGGCAGACCCCTCAGAGAAGGAGAAGCTACAGAGAATCTGAGATTGTGAAGCGACCGCAACCCACAATGCTTTCCTGTGACAACACCCAAATTAGCTTTTCTGTATACAAAACCCCAAGAAGGAAAAAAAAAAAACATTTGAAAGAATTGTCTAAAGGCTCCATCTGGGGCTTGCTGGTCGAGACCCTGTTCTCCCCTGAGTGCACATTTCACATCTTTTTTTTTTTCTTTTTGGGTCACACCCAGAGATGTTCAGGGGTATGCTGGGAAAGCAGCTTTGGGGAAGAAGGCAAGAAAAGAAAGGAAGAAGGTGGATGACCAGGAGGATGAAAGAGCTAAAACATTTCTGAAAGAAGAGAAGAAACCCCATTTCATTTTCGGAGCTGGATGGGAACAAACCAGACCCCAGTGACCAGCGCCCCCCCCCCTTGACCCTGAGTGCTGCCCCATCACACTCTGTGGATCTTGGCATGTATCGCTGTCCCCTCAAAACCCAAAGTGACTTGAGGTTAGACACTTGTCGAATCCAAACTCAGGCTTCCAATTGAGCCTCTAACAAATTCTTCCACTCACCTGAACCTAGAAGTTCCTAGACAAAGACTTAGGACAAGAGCTCTGGTCATATTGGGGGGTTTTGAGGGAATGGGCCACACCCAGCAGTGCTCAGTGCTATTCCTGCCTTGGTGCTCCAGGTGATCATATGTGGTGCCAAGGATTTGCACCAGGGTAGTTGCCAGAAAAACAAGCGCCTTCCCTCTTATACTGAGCCCTTCCCCTTGGATCCCTGTTCAGGACAGGGATTCAAATGATGAGCCGCTTTATGCCGTGTCTTTGTAGAACTTTGACAGCGTCCAGAACCAGGAGCCCTTGAACGCAGCAGGGACTGAGAGCGCATGTGGTAACTGGACCACACCATCAACAAAGGACACAAAGGACCACAGAGTTCCCTAAGGAAGGCACTGGGCCAGCCCCCAAGTGCTTTCGCTCACCCATCCTGCATGGTGCACTCTCTTCCCAGCAGCCCCGAGTCTCAACTAGCATAGGGGGCCTAGAGAAGAGCAGACAGGGTCCCCAGACCTTCTAGAGGTCCATACATTCTGGCCAGGGTAGTCACTCTCACGTGGCTCTGGGCAGGAGTCAAGAGCCGCAGGCAGCCTGCCCACAGGCCCACCCACAGAAGGTGAGCAGGCAGTTAGAAGAGCCCAGAGAGGCATGGGGGGCAGAGAGGAAGCACAGCAGAGCCCAGAGAGACGTGGGGGGCAGAAAGGAAGCACAGCGGCTGGGGGCATGGCCTTACCCCGTGATGACCTGCTTCACCCCCTGACACTGCATATGATCCCCTGAGCCCACCAGAAATGATCCCTGAAAATAGAGCCAGAGTAAGCTGAGCCTGAGCTCAACTGGATATGACCCCAAAATCAGAGAGAGAGAGAGAGACAGACACAGAAAGAGAAAGGGCCGGGGTCTCCTAAAATAGCTGAACAAGAGGAGAACCTGGGAGGAAGCAGCTCCCCGCACCAGAGAGGTGCTGCTATGTACGGTTGGTGGGACAGAGCCAAGACACACTCACTCCAGCTCCCTCACTCCTGAGCCCTGGGAGTCACCTCTGTCAACAGGCAGGGGAGTGGGGGATGCAGGGGGCAGGTGTGGCTGTGTTCTGGGAGGACCTGAAACCCACAATTGGGCTGGGGATGTGGCATCATGGCTTTGCCTGGGTAGCCCAAATGGGTCAGGGGGGGCGGGGTATGATCTCCAGCACCACAAACAAAAACTCTGATCTGAGGTCGGTGGAGATCTTTCTGACAAAGCAGATGCTTTTTGGAAGGGTCCTGCGATCCCCACACACTATCCTCGGCTTTGCACCTAGTGCCCTGCCCCCCCCACCCCCACCGGCTGGAGACTGAACTGGGAAAAAAAAAAAAAAACAGTCCCTCAGATTTCACATAGAAATACTGGAGGTCCAGGAGACCAAAGTGACAGTCCAGCGGGGAGGGCATTTGACTTGCACACAGCCCATCAAGGTTCGATCCCAGGCATCCCATATGGTCCCCCAAGCACTGCCAAGAGTAATTCCTGAGTGCAGAGCCAGGAGTAATCCCTGAGCATCAAAAGTTGTGACCCAAAAAGCAAAACAACAACAAAAGAAATACTGGAGGTCCTGGTGCCCCTTCCCTCTGTTCCCACTCATCTCTCTGCCACCCAGGCACCCAACACTGCCACAAACACTGTCTCTGCCCCCACCAGGGTCAGTTAGAGCTGTGTCTGGTCCCTGGGCACCTACCTGGCACACCAGGGGAAGGGTTGAGCAGCATGAAGGCATCTGAGAGACCCGTTTTGACTGGGTGCTGGGATGAGCTGATCTCCAGGACAGACATAGGGATCTGCAGGAGTAAAGATAAAGCACCATGGACCCCTGGCACGCACAACTCTCCGGGCCAGCCCCGAGTCCCCTGCAGTGCTCAGAGGCACCTCCAGTCCCTGGGAGCCCCACCCCCACAGGTGCTGTCTCCATCCACACATCTGACCTCTTTTCACAGCTTAGTGAAATCTGGGGGTCATCCCCAGCACCTCCTTTCCTTCCCTCCAAGTCCTGCTGAGTAATGGGTCACTGCACACAAATCTCTCCCACCTTTCACTCTTCTGCCACCTTATTCCACCTCCACAGGCTCGTCTCTCTCCTGCATGCCCTCCCAGCATCTCTAGGAGCCTCCATCACAATCCTTCAGCTTGCAGCCAGAGCAGACAGTTTCCCGATGGTGCCCGACAGCCCCTCTCTACACTTAAGCTATCTCTGTGGCCCCAAAAGAAACCTTTGTCCGGGGCAACGTGGTTGTACCCCTGCCCTGTCTTGCTCCTCCCTTGCTCCCCTCCTGCCAAGCTGCTTCTTTTGGACAAGACACATGCTTTGCCCACAGGTTCACAGGGCCTTTGCACTTGCTTTTCTTCTGGAACACACTTCACTCTCTGCTTTTCTGACTGTTTCATATCGTGCAAATTCCAACTCTTTTTTTCTCAGGGTCTGGGAATCCTGCAGATTCCACCTTTTTTTTTTTTTTTTGCAGGGTCTGGGATCCAACCCAGTGCCTCCCACAAGCTGGGCAGGTACTTGACCACGGACCCACATCCTCGGAGCAGATTCTGACTCTTTTCCGAGGGACAGCTCCTATGACCCCATTTAGGTCAAGCACTTCATGGGGCTTTCCAGGACTGGCATCGTACTTGGTAGTCACAGAAGCAAGCGTACACTTGTCCCTGCAGTGACCGGCTCTCTCGTGACCAACCTCACAGGCTCAGTAGGGCTGGGCCTGCTCACGAGCTGGCAGCTGGGTTCACACACCTCTTTGTAGCCAAACACAATGCGGCCGTCCCGGTGCAGGGCTGCCTGGAAGGTGAAGCTGCCCCTGTCCTCCCGGCCATGGAGGTACACGTGGTCCCACTGGACGATAAAGACGGTGCCTGGGGAGAAGAACAAGAATGGCTGCAGGAGAAGGGCCCCAAGGCACTAGCAGGACCCGGACCCAGGGGAGACCTGCCTGGAGGCTGGAGCTAGGCAGACCAAACACTTCAGCCTGGGCTTCAGCCCCAGCCCCCCGAGACACAGTGCTCAAACTCCTTGTTCTTGCCTACTGTGACCCCTGGGGTAGGAAAAGGGGAAGAAATAGGAGTATTGTCTGTTCTTGGAGGGGTGTGGGGAATGGGGGTATTCGAGGGAAAACCTAACTAGTATCAGAAACAAGAAAGGGAACTCAGAATAGTTTCTGGGGTGAGGCAAGTGCCTTGCATGTGGGACAGTTGATCCTGACTATCCCCACCACACAGCTCCCCGAGCACCACTAACTGTGCCCCCACTTAAAAAAAATCCCTATTCCTGGGGTTGGAGAGATGGTACATGGGGAGCTGCTTGCCTTGCATGTGGCCAATCCGGGTTCACTGAGCCTCTCCAGGAGTGATTCTTGAGTGCAGAGCCAGGAGTAAGCCCCTAAGCACCACCAGGGTTAGCCCCGCAAAACAAACAAAAAGGGCCTAGTCCTTCCTAGTCCTTCTGTAACGGTGTGTGTGTGTGTGTGTGTGTGTGTGTGTGTGTGCGTGCTAACTTTCCCTCCACACTGTCATGTGGGGGTCTTCTCAGCTCCTGCTCAGGAGCAACCCTGGGTCCCCATCACAGAGGTGGGGGCTGCCATGCTATGTGACTGTGGGCAAGCCCCCTGCCCTCCCTGGGCCTGGGGCTCCTCTAGAGGAGCTGGGCTCAGGGAACCCAAGACTGGGGGACTGGGACACCAAGTGCTGGCCTCACCATTGTCAAAGTAGGCAACTGTGGAGTTGTCCGAGTAGCCGGGGTTGAAATTGGCCATCAGAGGGGCCACGTACTGAGTGGCCGTGAGCATCCGGTGGATGATGTCCCCCATGAAGATGAAGCCTGGAAGGGGAGAGGAGCAGAGGGTGCCCTTGCTCGCTTGCTCCCCTGCGCAGAGGCAACCACAGCCCTGGGGACCCTGGGGCTGGTGTGCAGGGGGCAGGCACAGCCCAGACCAGAGATGCCCTCCTAGCCCCTCTGGGGGGCACACCTCCCTCCTTTGCTTGGGTCTGAAACTCTCTCACTCATTCTGTCAGTAAGAAGCACACCCCAGGACTCCTGACACTTCCCTCCACCTCCACACTCAGATGCAGAAAGACGGGGACCACACACACATGCATGCACGCACGCACACACGCACGCACGCACGCACGCACGGGAAGGAGGGGGCTAGTCTTCCACATGAGAGCAGATTCCCAGGAGAGCCCCAGGTAGATGCCTCCTCCATCCATGGTCTGTCTCCATGGACCTTCCCCCTCGGGCTAAGTTCATGGACCCTACACCCCCAGGAAGCCTTACCTCCGGTTGCTATGGTGATCTGCCGCAGAGGGTGCCCATAGAAGGGGAAATCAAAGGACAAGACCACTCTCTGCAGGGGACAGGAGAAGGTCAGCACTGCGGAGCTGAGGTCCTGTAGCTGGGCGCCCTCTGCACAGCGCCATGCTTGTCTGGACAGGGGAGGGGGCAGGTGTGCCCAGAGCAGGTGCCCACAACCACACCCCAACTCTGACAGACCCCTCCCCGAGTTCTCTGAAGGCTCCCCAGACCACAGACCCCACGTCACTTCCATTCCCCCGCCTAGTCAGGATGGGCTGGCACCCAGCACGCCCTCCCCCCAGCTCAAGGCAGCACCGCCTGGCCAGACACTCACCGAGGCCTGCCAGTGAGAGTTCGAGAGGATTCTGTGAATCTTCACGTGGCTCCGGTTGGCCGCGGCCATGTCCACCCACAGTTCCCGGCTGCGGGGCTCCCTGGGGCCGTAGAGACGGGACACGTAGTAGTTGTGGTTGTCTTCCTGCCGCCACCAAGACAGAGGCCATGGGGCCATGAGGCACTAGTGCATGCACTCTCCCGAGACTGCTGGAGGCAGGAGTCACGGGGCTCCCTGGGGCTGAGCTTGTGACCCAAATGACTGGGATGGGTCTAGGAGCCCCGAGGCCCCCTGACTCCAGACAGTTTAAGCCCCATCTTTGCTGGGTTGGGGCACATTCAAAAGTGCTCAGGGCTCACTTCTGACTCTCTGCTTAGGGGTCACTCCTGGCAGTGCACGGGGGACTGTATATGGTATTCGGGACCATAGCCAGGTCAGCTGCATGCAAAGTAAGTGCTCTAACCCCTGGTGTCTCCCGAGCCCCTCCATTTCTGACTCTTAGTCAAATCCCAATGGCTCTGTAAGCCAAGTCCACACCCATGGCACCCAGCTCACCCACCTTTCCAGACAGGCCCCAGGTCCTCAGAGCCCACCCGAGACAGAGCTCAGCGCGGGAAGACCCCACTGAACCCTGTCCTCAGCAAGCTCTCAGGAGCAGCCTGGTTAAGAGCTGGAGGGAAGAGAAACAGAAATAGAAACCCCTGGTTTCAAGGAGGAGGCAGATTCTTGAACTTGGGGAAGGACTAGTCTAATGGAGGAGGTAGGGACCGCCCTGCAGCCGTCCTCACCCAAGACAGAACACACAGACCAGTCAGAGCTCAGATGTAGTTTCTAGGGGTGGGGGAAGGGGAAAAGAGACACAGGGACTTTCTTTCCTTTTTTTTTTTTATTTTGGGGGCCACACCTGACAGTGCTCAGGGATTACTCCTAATTCTGATCTCAGGAATTATTCCTGGTTCGGGGGACCATATGGAGTGACAGGGATTAAACTCAGGTGGGCTGCAAGCAAGGCAAGTGCCCTACTCGCTGCAATAACTGTTCTCACCAGACTTTCAGTGGCCGTGGTGTGCTGGTAGGGTGACACGAAGAGCCTGCCAGGGGCAGTGTGCTGGGTTCTCTGTCCCCACCTCTCCTGCAGCAGATCCAGGGACAGGCCTCAGGAGCTGGGAAGGTGGGTGGCAGACAGTACCCAAAGGCCAGGGAGGGGGTGAGGTAGGAGGCCCCCTCCAGGAGCGCCTTCCGGAAGAGAGGGCAGCAGGTGCCCACAGACATGGGGCTGCTGCCCAGTGAGGATCCCCAGACATCAAGGGTCACTCATCAGGCTGCCCACTGGCTGTGGCCGCATGTTTTCTGTCAACCTGCCAGCTGCCCAGTCAGCCTTTGTGCTGACCACAGCATGAGCAGATTCAGCTCTTCTGACAGGTGAAACACTTGGGGGACTGGGGACGGGGGTGGGGCGAGGGAAGGAGGAACAAAGAAACACAATGGGGTGGAGGAATATGCAGGCCCAGGCCACCCCCTCCACCCACCCTCAGCCCTAGAGTTAGCCTCACAGATGCAGGCGTAAGGGCACAGCCTGGGCCCCCAGCCATTTATGACATCTCTGCCCAAGACTGCAACTTCAGTTCATCCAGAGCCAGTGCCTTCTTCCTCAGGAACCTTGGGGATCATGCACCCCCTACACACACATATCAAGCACACAAGTGCATACACATATTGAGAGTACATACGTATGTATGTACTGAGGGACGGGGGCGAGAGAAGGAGGAACAAAGAAATGCAATGGGGTGGAGGACTGTACTGTCCCCAGTACAATGCACACACATGTACACACACACATACATCGAACGCACACTCACACATTGGCCACACATACATACATATATTCAGCACACACATACATCAACCACACACACATTGAGCACACATGTACATACACACATCCCTCTGGCATGCACACACCCGTACACTCTCCCAGACAGTCACAGCCCCATCTGAAAGTGCCCGCCCTGCACCTGCACCCCCTCTGACCTGGGATGCCCTGCCCACTCCACCACTATCCAAAGCACCTCTTAGCTCACCCCTCCACCTTCAAGAATCCCCTCAAACATCACCTTTTTTCAGTTTTTTTTTATTTCAGGGGGGCCCTCCTAAACTGTATCAGGAGACCAGGAGGTCACCCCTACGATATTCAGACAACTGAGCCAGACTTGGCAGTTCTCAGGAGGGTCTCCAGAACTACATTTGGGTGTGCGGGGACCAAACTGAGCCCTATGTACATGCAGGGCATGTACCCCTGAGCCCTGAGCTCCGGGACATTTTACTCACCTCCTCCCTCCACAAGAACCCTCCAAGGAGGACCTTCATTTCTTGAGATGTCCCTCACCATCCAGGGGAGTGACTTCTGTGAACTCCTGGTGAGAGCACAAGGTCCACCTTTGTTTGTGCTTTGGGTCACCATTAGTGGCCACTCCATGGTAGCAAGTTGTGCTCAGGGGCTACTTGCGACTCGGTGGACCATGTAGTAAAAACCCATTTCTCACCCATGGAAAGCGTGTGCTCCAGTGTCCATAGAGCCACTGCAAGTCACTTAAACAGCCGCTCTCCAGCCCCTGTCTGTCCATCCAAACAGGCAGCACTCGGCAAAGTGCTCTCTATGCCCACAGCTCCCATCTGCACATGGTTAGTACTGGAGTGGGGTTTGCCAAGGGAGGCAGGAGATTTTCCTTTGACCTTTTCCTAGGAGAGGAGGGCCCAGTGCTTTGCTGTCGGCTGAAACTGTGAGCTGAACCTGCCTCGCTAATCCCTGGGCTATTCCTTTAGGCTGTGGGAGTGAGGGTGCCAATGGGACCCCATGCTAAGCGACATAAATAAGGTTCTGGGTGGGTTGTTCACCTCTCCTGGCAGGAGATGACTGAAGACCCCTGGGATGCTGAAGCGGGGGTGATGGCTATTCAAAACCCCATTATGGAGACCCCATGGTGCTGGGAGAGGGCAGGGCAGCCCAGATCTGAGCCACTGCTGGGCAGAGCTGAGAGCCACTGCAGACAGCGCTGGGAGGGACTTGGGTACAGGCGGGAGCAGGAGAAACAGTGGTCCTGACAGCCCCATGGGGACTGTACAGTTCATTCTGTACATACCGGAAGAAGTTGCCCCTCTCTGGAGCCAGGGCCACCTCATGGCTCACAGAGACTTTCCTCTGCTCCCCATGGCCTCTCTGGCCTTTGCTGGGTCGGAAGCCACCACTCAAGTCAGAAGTTTTCTCACCCAGACGAAGGACGTGGCTCAGTGGTAGAGCATCTGTGAGGCCCTGGCCTCTGCACCTGGCACTGTGGTCAAAGCACACCCAAGTCCAAGGAGTGTGGCAAGGACTGGCCCCCAGAGTGGGTCCTTCATGGAGCATAGCACCCCCCGGACAGGTTCATACACCTCTACCCACCTGAGCCCTGTCCCAGCACAGGACCTGGCACCTTTGTGGTGCATCCCCCAACCCCACCATCACATACCACTCAGGGGGGTGGTAAGCCACCCGAGGGGGTCAGAGTGATAGTACAACAGAGAGGGCACTTGCCTTGCACACGGCCAACATTGGTTCGATCCCCGGCATTTCATATGGTCCCCTGAGTTCACCAGGAGTGATCCCTGAGTGCAGAGCCAGGAGTAACCTCTGAGCATCATTGGATATGGCCCAAAAACAAACCAAAAAAGCCACCTGGGAAGGAACTGGCTACATCTCTGCGAGCCCGAGCCATGGAAAGTGCTCCCTCTAACTGGACTTCGGCAAACTCTTCTCCTAGGAGGTCAGACCACAGGGAGTCACTTTCTGCTCCCACAGTGACACAGTGAAAGCACTCAGCCAGCAAGAGATGCAGTGGCTCTGGGGCCATCAGGGCACAGTCTCGGGGACACTGGCAGTCCACAGACTGCTCTCCAATGGGGACGGGGAGGGGCTCGGGGTAAAACTCTGGATTCCCGTGTCGCGGCTCTGGGCTCCATTCTTGGTGCCACTCATTAAATTTAAAAACTCTACACTGGATACGTGAAAAGGGGACCAAGATCACGTTGGACACAAGGGACAGAAAAAGCAGCTCAGGACCCCAATGTCAGGCTGTTCAGCCCAGAAACCCACAGAAGGCCTCCCCACCCTCATTAAAACCTCCGATGGTTGGAATAGAACCATAAAGGCCCCAACCAGAAGTGGCTCCAGGGCAAGGAGATAGTACAAAGTAACGGGCTTGCCTATCCCCAAGCACTGCCAGGAGTGAGCCCCAAGCACAAAGCCAGGAGTCTAAGTCCCAAGGACAGTCTGGTGAAGCCCCAAAACAAATAAGACAGAATCAGCTTGCCACAGGGTGATCTGGTCAAGGGCTTCTCCAGAGACAGGCATTGCTCTAGGACCAAGGCCAGGGGCTCTGGCGTCCCACAGATCTCAGTTCAAACTCGGCTCCACATCTTAACGGTGGATGCTGGCCTTTCCTCGTTCTCTGAGCTTCAGTTCTGTCAGTGGCAATCTTTCTCCCAGTGTTCTACAAAGGATCAGCCGGGATAGAGAACTGGAAAGAGTCAAACCCAGCGCCAGGCCCACGGAAGGCTTTGCTAAGCAGAGTTATAGGGAGGATTTTGTTGCTCCTTTCCAGGAAAGGTCCTGATTATGGCTCTTCCTCCTCCCAACCATCCCAGTCATCCCACACGCCTGCTGTGGCAGTGTCTCCTCATCTCAATTATCCTCGGCCGGAGGCCACAGGCCCATCATTTCTGACAGTCAAGCATTTATCTTGGCTGAGCTCAAGATGTCTCTGGACAGAAACTTGGGCTAAGCTCTCACCCCAGCTCGTCACCTGCCAGCCAACTGGCAGGTGGAAATGCCAGGCAGGCAACTGTGGTCCCCTGCCAGACCTTCTGGAGTGGCCTGGACTGGAGGCTTGTCAGGCAGGTCCACCAGGCAGCTGGTGCTGAGGGATTACTCGGGGCCATGGGTGGAGGGGCAGCCTGTTGCCTGCCTCCACCAAGCAGGAGGCCAACCAAGACCAACAGGAATGTTCTCAGGGGGGCAGACGGATAGTATAGTGGGTAGGGCACTTGCCTTTCACACAGTTGACCTGGCTTCAATCCCTGACACCACATACGATCCCCAGAGCCCCACC